CTCAATATTGTGCAGGGATGGAGCGGCAGAGGAAACACGCGGAGTGGCGGTTGGAGGCGTTAGCTGTCATCAGCATGCGACCTGTTGGTCCAATCGTTTCCCAGCGAGGGCGAGTGGAGAAATGGGTGCTACAAATCTTGAATTTCCTGTAAGCCTGCGAGCGCTTTGGGAGACACTCGGAGCTTCGAACTGTTGATTTGCCTGGCGAAAATCAATGCGGGTCCGGGCAACTGACAGTTCTTGCCCATAGGACGGGGACTCAGTCATTTGTAGCTCTTCCATGCCGAAACCTTCAGCCAAGCACCTGATGGCTCAGGCAGACTAAGTCCCAAGTCGCGAGCAGTAATCGGGTTTCGTGTTTCATTTGTGAGGTGCCGTCAAGATATCTTTCCCGCATGTGTTGCCAACACACGACAGCACGCGACCGTGCCAAATAGACAACATGCGCGCTAGAAATAGGGAGCGTTCTATGTTCTAATAGCAATATGCAATGCATGTTTCCAAGCACGCCACACACTTGTGGTGCTTCCCAGAGGAAAGTAGTTTAATGCCGCCTGGATCTCTTCCGTCATTTTGCAGAGACCTCTGACATATCTTTTGAAGCATGGGATCGGCCCGTAGCCGCCCATGTTCATCCGACAAGTAAGGTCAGGTGAGTCAAAGTGCACCTTGGAGACAAAGACAAGTCGAGCGGAAGCAACAGCAATAACAGCATCACTTTCTCCGATTGGGCAACCAACGGCTGAAATCACACATTTCACTGCAGGTACATGTGGGTGATCAGCCCACGTTTCCCGCACCATACCGTAGCTTCGTTGCGTCAGGTAGGTATGGAGAGCCTGACGCCCTTGCTGGTAACAAACCGAAAACCGTGGTCGCCCGCCAGCGTCGTCGAACTGTTCACATCCAAGAAAACGGAAGAAAGCCGAAAAAGAGGGGCCCGTCAAACGTGTTGACAGATCCAATTTGCACGGCCTCGCCGCTCCAATGAAAAACGGACAGGTGTGAGCATCAGACGTTATTGCATAACTATTTTGAGTGGGACTCCTAAACCAACCAACGTTGTCGTGTCGAATTGTCCAAATCAAGAAGAAGAAAAACTTAAGAGGAAGGACCCAGAAAGAATGTCTCCGGACGCAATTTATTTGCGTCGAATGTCTTTGCAACCAGGCGTACAGACACACACACACACACACTTGCTGCGGATCAATCACTAAGTTTAAGCAGGTGGCCCGTTTTTTGCGTTACATGTTTAGACTGGAAATCATTAGTCAGTTTTCACACACGTGTCCCCTGCTTTGTGACAAATACACAGACTTCTGCCCCTTTCTGGGCTTCCCCCGTTTTTTGTACTCGGAGCCTGTATGAAGATCGAACGATAATTAGTCAATCAACAAAAGTGTTTCAAAGGTTTTTGTTTTTCTGCCCAAGAACCAACTGGCTTGTACAAAGAGCCAATGGCTTTAATGTAACAACACCGTGTTCCCCAAATCATACCCTTGTTGTGCGTGGTTCCCTTTAGTTTCCCATACCCGTGTCCATAACCCTTAGTTGGTGGTTTGGGTTGGTGGGTGGGTTTGATCCCTGGTTCTTAAAGAGGGTAAATGAAAATCATCCCCTAACCTCCAAACCACCAATCACCAATCCAAACCACCAATTGAGTGTGTCATTTTTTGAGGGCGCCCCCTTTTTGGTTGGGAAAGGGAGAAACAAGATGCTTGGGGGTCCTTTCAGAAAAAGACGAGCCACCCACAGAACGAGGGAAGCTGATGATCCGCGCCACACTACTTCAGGTCACCGGCCAGCCGCAGCGCCATCTTCGCCAAGGGCGCCGTGCGCTTCGGGCGGGCCCACATCGCGCTTGCGCTTCCCAGCCACCGCCGAGACGATGGGAGTCGCGAGAGGGGAATCCAAGCTTCAATTTGGTTAAGAAAATATGTTATTTTCTAGAAATGCTCGATCAACTGAGTTGCTGGCTTAGTTACTTCCATTTGGTTAAGAACATGTTTTCTTTTCCCCTGTTGGGTTTAAATGGAATCGATTTCACTACTGGACTTTTTGTCCAGGAGACTTAAGCAAATGGAGGCAAGGGATCCCACCAAAGGGGTATGCGTCAAAGTATGTCAAAGTACGCGAACCCCGCAGAATGCAGGTTTCCGCTTGGGTTCCATTTAAGGCGGGAAGAGACAAATATCCATTGAAATTACATGGTGCTTCCCACAACTATCCTGCAGGCAAAAGCTTTTGGAAGACTAGTTTCCAAGGGAGCCTGTCCGCTTCCATATTTGGTGGGAGAACCCAATTATTTATGCACCCAACCCTTCTCCAACCCAACCCTCACGTAACCCAACCCTCAACCAAACCAAGGCTTGACCAAGCTTTTCGAACATGTTATTGGCTTGACCAAACCAAGGCTTGACCAAGTACTTCGGAAATACTATCTTCTGTGCTAAAGCAAGCCCTGGTTGAGGTAGCTCAGCACGAAACCAAGCCGAGATTTTGGTCTCGTGGTCGCCCCTGGGGTATCTATGGTCAAACCTGTTTTGCTCCGGGAAACTTGCGCTATGTGGGGGTTGATCAATATTCTGTTCGGCCAAATGACCATGGGTGACTTTTCCCATGGTTGACATATCAAAAATATGTTTGGTGGGTTTCCAAGCGACGGCCATCCCATGTATCACGGAGCTTTTGATTTAATCCGAAGGTGCGAAGGGGCAAACAGCACCAGGACTGAACAAAGATGACTCCGCGCAGGGCCGCGGAGCTCGAGTTGCTGCTCAGGGCTGGCCAGGCCGGGAGAAGTGGACGCTCGATGCGAGTTCGGCTAAGCGCCTGAAGCAGAAACGGATTGGACCGTTTCCGTGTTTTTTCAAAATGGGGGCCCTCTAAAATGGTTATCATTTTGGTTTTGCTTCAAGTACCAACCTAGAGGGAGTTCACTATTTGAGAAACTCCCTTTGACCTTTTCGGAGTTGGTTTATGTTTAGTCAGAACCTCGAAGGGCTTGTTTTTCTGACGTTCATGTTTGGATCTCGGCACATATTTGGTACACATTTTCTCAATCCCTGGCCACCACTGAGCTGAGTCAAACCAGAGCGAACCTCAGGGAAACTTGGTTGTTTGCCCCGAAACAACGCGTCACGCTCAAAACCCAAGTGTGGAGAGTAATCTTCAATCCGGAAAATGGATGGTGCATTTGATGACAGGATGGTCAACTTTGCTAGGCCAGCAACCCCCTGGAATTTGACGATGAACTGATAAGCACGTGGCCATGGTTCAAAACCAATGGTACTATTTTGGCATAGGTGCACTACCCATTTTAGTCTACTTTAGTAGGGATTGGGATGTTGACTGGGGGTACGGGGTTTTAACCCATGGCCATGTGAACCTACCCAAATGGGTAATTCTGTCCAGTTAGAGCTGGAAACTCGCCGGAGGCCCGCACTGCTCGAAAATGGGCAAGCTGATCATGTTTGACTTTCCGTGCCAAAGGGGGTGGGGAATTGCTTCCGGGTAGGTCTCCGGCTGGGAAGCTCTATATGCAAAGTAGCCAAACCTTGACTGCAAGCACGAAGATGGAGCATCTCTGAGAGACTGGAAGACCATGCCCCTCGCTCCTGGAACTTTCTGTATTCTGCGCTGTTTATGTGTCCTTGGCCGACGTATGGGTGTTTCTCCAAAATGAGTGAACAGCTCCTGATGCTTGGCTTCCTTCCCACCCAAAGAGATGGCGCCTGGACAGTACCTGGAAGATGAATTTCTTGAAGGGGCCGGATCCCTGACAGGTGCCCGATGTTGGAAGGGAATCTGCAACAGGGTTTGCCACACAGGGCCAGATCCCACCAATTCGACCACTGCTGATGGCCGCTTTTGGGTTCTATGGAGGCTGCAGAGGGCCGGCTCGCAGCACCCCTTCAAGCAGAACACGCGCTGGCGAAAGGAGCTTCACCCCTAGTAGAGTAACTACCAAACGCACAAGCTGTACACTACTGGAGGACCTAGTCTTTTTTGAGGGCACCCCTTTCTTGTCGTTTCTCAAGGAAAGCCAACAGGAAAGCTACTATGAAGTCCAAGTACTGGACCTAGCAGTAGTTCCGTTTTGGAGCCTTCTGCCAGATCGGCCTCTCTCGGCACTGGACCCCGCAGCTGCGGGACTTGCTCTGTGCGTGCGCCGCCTACGAGGGAGGGACCAAAGGCGTGCGCCCGGGGGCCCTGGCCACAAGGCGATGCAGGCCAACTTGGTAGCTTTCTGATCTGGGCGCGAAGTCTTGGGAACCCTCTGGTGGACATTGTATAGGTTGGGACTCATGTCCAGGAACCAATTTGGGAGGTTACTCCTCCTTCAAATCTATTGCAATGTGCGTGTATCTGTCTTTCTGTGTTGCCATTGCTGGCTGCCTGTTTTGCATGATGTTGCTGGGTTTGCTTGTTTGCCTGAGTTGCCTTGTTTTACTTGATTGCTCAGGAGCAGCTTCCCTGTGCTGTGGGTTGTCCTTTTTCGCTGTTCTTCCGTCGATGGTGTCCATGGCAGCTTGGCCGATGTGGTTTGCCTCTGCGTTTTCACCGCTGCATGGCAACGGCTTCAGCAACATGATGGTTTAACAGCGGGAACCTCTCATGTGGCGGGGTACGTTCTTCGAGGGGGTTTGGCTTGGGCTTGGCTGGGATGGTGGAATGGTTGAAAAGTTTAATCCCACACAGCTTATCAAGCAACTCTGCCAATTTGACAGGAACCCTTTCCAACGAGTATGAGCGTGCTTGGCTCTTGAAGTAGTTTTGGTGCACAATTATCATTCATGACGCACCTGCACATGATATGAACACTTGGAGGAGTTTATTCTCAGTAATGGTATTTCAATTGTCCAGCTCGGTTCAACGATGCTGCCTTCTGCCCTAGCAACTATGCAGCCGTTGGTTGAACCGAGTCTATCTTATCACTTCTTTCAGTGGCAGAATTGTGTCTCAAACTGCTGCAGATTGCCTTGTTCACTTGCAGTCCCAACCAACCCACCCACCAACCCACCAACCCACCAACCCACTCATCCACCCATCCACCCATCCACCCATCCACCCATCCACCCATCCACCCATCCACCCATCCACCCATCCACCCATCCACCCATCCACCCATCCACCCATCCACCCATCCATCCATCCATCCATCCATCCATCCATCCATCCATCCATCCATCCATCCATCCATCCATCCATCCATCCATTTATCCATCCATCCATCCATCCATCCATCCATCATCCATCCATCCATCCATCCATCCATCCATCCATCCATCCATCCATCCATCCATCCATCCATCCATCCATCCATCCATCCATCCATGGTGCTACCATTTTGGTAGTACGGTCCAACCGCCCAAGCCATGCGTTGGCCAACCAGCGAAAAGCCTCTCTGAGGTTTGGGGCTCTACGGCGACCACCACGGCTTCGGCCTTTGGGAGGCCGGGGGCTCTGGAGGTGTCCTTTGGATCGGTTGGTTTGGTCAGAAATCGACGGGTTCCACTGGTTTAGACCAGGGAATCCCGCTGAAGAGATCTGCTCAAACTGGGTCCTCTTGGGACGGTTGCAAAAAGGGCGCCACATGAAGTTAAGAGTTCAAACCCTTTGTCTGAAAGCCATTGAGCACGCCGGCCATCGAGCCCAACTACTCGTGTGGTAGTGTGGCAAGCCCAAAATTGAAACCGATTCTTGGCCTTGGCCAGTGTGAAGAAACCCTCAGTTGGATGTTGTTTTAAGAGACAGCAGCCGCACTGAGGGTGTGCCAATCAACCGCTAGCACCTGGGCCGCGCTTATTTTCTTCTTCTTTTTTTCCCACGGCAGGCAGCTGTGAGCTTGGCCTTCCATGAGGGCGACGACCAGGCAGGCGATGGACTTGACTCGGGGTCCTTTGTGTCTTGACTGCTATTGGGCTGGATCTTTGGACTTTGACTTTTTGGTTGAGAAACCGCGCCTGGTGCAACATCCCGTCCTGGCTTCGCTCAAACTAACCGGAGCCGTTTGGAACCCGGAAACCGCTCAAAGATGTTCAAAGGTTTTGAAAGAGAGGCGCAACATCTTTCTTGCCGTCGACCCCCCTGCAAAAAGTTCAAGTTTTTGCCGGGTTTTGTGGAAAGTTATCTTACACCTTGAACGCCGGGAACGGACGGGTCCCATTTGAGCGACACGGGATGGTCCTAGCGGCCTCAGAGGGCTGATTCGGTGCACAATTTCATAGGGGTCCTTTTTGATCGGTGAGTTTGACTAGAAATAGATGGGTTCCACTGGTTTAGATGGGGGTTTATGGCACTTCCCAGGGACACCCATCTATTTTTAACGAAAAGGCCACCAGTGCGCACAAGACTTCCCGGGCCCTGGAAGCATACGGCTACAAAGGGTGTTTGATCAGAGTAAGGAGTCCTAAATGAAGCGTGCCCACTCACCAGGTGTTCGAGAGTGCCACTCGTGAATCAAGACATGCGTCAAAAAACATCTCCCAACTTGCTTGTGCCCCATGGAAACCTTCGGATGTTCACTGGAAGAAACTGGTCTGAGGGTCCACTGAGAAAGCTGAACGACTTCTGCGACCTGTGTTCAATCCTAGTCTTCTCCCCACTTTGTCAGCTTCACAGTAGGTGTCTGTCACCAAATGGTCGACTCCTATGTTGAAAAGAAGACCCATTTCTTGCCCCACATGATTGGTCTGCCCTAAAACTTGTTTCAACCGGGCACGTCATGTTTTAGTTCTTTTGTTTTTTGAACGCTAGTCTTTTTGGTCTACCCTAAACAAACAAAACCACCGGGCTGTGGTGCTTGCTTTTCGCATTTGTTTAAATCAACTCGTGTTTCGTGTTTTTGCTTTGTTCCGCTTGGCGCGTTGTTTGCTTTGTTTTTTCTTTGTGGTTGGTTGCTTCAGAGGGAAGCCAACAGGAACCCAGCGGTGGGTTCCCCTCGCTGAAAATTGGGAGAGGCCGCCACAGCTCTGCGGGGCACCATTGGAGACAGGCGCACCGATTTCCCGAGCGAACGAGATCGCTTTCGATTGCGCGGTGGAAATGCATGTGTTGCTTGGTTGGTTGGTTGGTTGGTTGGTTGGTTGGTCGGTCCTTCGGTTGGTTGGTTGGTTGGTTGGTTGGTTGGTTGGCTGGCTGGCTGGCTGGCTGGCTGGCTGGCTTGCTTGCTTGCTGTTTTTTTCAGGGCACCCTTTTCACCTTGGTTATAAAAGGAAATACACACACACACACATATACATGACGTATATACCCACATGCCGATGGCTTTTACCCAGAATCGAATGGTGTCTTCTCAGGATATGTCTATAGGGGAGTTTCTGAAAAGAGAGCGACCTCCAGCTAAAATCAGAACGAGTTTCAAAGTGGCCAGACAACATGTAGTTTTGAGCTCTATTTCCATACTCCTCATGCTTAAGCACGGCCTATCCTCGTGGCGGTGTCTGAGCCTTCCATGTGCTTTACTAGAGTCTTGTTATTTCCCTTGTTGGTTCCAAAAGGTAATTGTTCATGACTCATGTGTGCATGTGTGTTTCACTCTAGCACCTCAAGCCAGTGGAAAGGGTATTGTCGCAATTGAGCAGCCTTCGAAGCGAAGGCGCTGGGAAGAACACCATCGACTGCTGTTGCACATGATGGTGAGCTCCCACTAGAGTGTTTTGGTTGTCCGCCCGTATTGGCTCGAGGCATTCGGGCGGGGGGGGGGCCAAATCAAGACACACACACATGCATGAAGCTGCTCTCCATTTTTGTGCTTTCCATTAGCCGGAGAAAGATACTACTGGATTTAGCATGCTTCCTGTGGCAACTGCTTGATTTAACCAGGACTCAATCAGGCCTTTGGAACTTAGTGGTACCATCATGACCTACCGTGCACGTCTCTAAGCAATGAAGGGAGCGAGGGTAAGCACAGTCTTCCAATCAAAGTGAGCAGCAGGGGTGTCGTACTCAGTAAACTGCTTGGCAACAAACTTCAAATGTGTAAAGTAAGACCTCCCAACAAGAAGGACGCCTCCCCCAAGGGAATGATGTTCCTTTTCTCTTGACAAACTGGCCCTATGTAGATGATGCCCCATTTATGTTGACTGACAAACTGGCAATTTTGTATGCTTTGACTGACAATGATGCTCCATTGCAATATAGATGATGCAATTCTTGTGACTCCCTTTTCCGGCCTGTATGTAAATAGATGCCCCTTAATTCTGTACTCACCAGCCGGCCAAGTTCTCGAGGAAGCGGCCCTGGTCCCCGAAACCCCAGGAACCGTTCGCGTTCGAAGCCGCCCGAGCGCGGCGCGGGCGGTTCGCGCGGGGGAAGCGCGCGGCCAGGGCCTTGCGGCTCTGGGCGCTGGAGACCTCCGAGCTCGGCACGCCGTAGGAGCTCCCGTTCCAGGCGGCGCGAAAGGAGGCGAAAGGGGGGGAGGTGCGGCGAAAGGGGTGGGCGAAGGGGTGTGGGTTTTTTGGGGGGTCAGTTTCCGAGCCGGTTGTGGCTTTGTTGGCCCGTTTCCGAGCCATTTCCTTTTTTGGAACCTCCAAAAGAGGCGATCGGTTCAATGGATTTCCCAAAGGGAGCCTCCAAAAGTGGCAGTGTGGTTTCACTGGACACCACCGGCAAGGGGGAAATCCAGTGACTTCTCATAGGTGGGGTGGTGTTGCTTGCGTTTCTCAGCCTGATTTCCCCCAGAATCAGACAGTCTCTGCCCTCTCAAGTGCTTGGCACTCTGACCACTAACTCACTTCTCGGGCTTGCGGTTGGCTCGCTGGGTATCGGCTCGCGTCACGCCTTCCACGTGTTTGTCAGTTGCAGCGGGTCGTATTTGGAATCTGCCTCCACTCACAACGGGCAACCCTCGTTCCGTTTGCACCCGACCCACATTGGCTGGCGAATTTTAGGAGACATGTGCGAAGGATTCGTTTGCACAGCGGACTAGTGAGTGTAGGGCCAGGCCGGTTGTTGCTCAAAGCGTGCCTTGGATGCGGATTTGTCAGCAACCCAATGTAAGCTGCTGGAGCAGTCATTTTGACACAGGCCGGTTGGTATTGATTCAATATTTACCTTACCAGGTTCCATACTGGCAACCAGACATTAACATTTCGTCTAGTCTTTGTGGGAAGTGCAAATGGGTCAACGAGCTGGACAAGAATGTAGGCACCTCGCCGAGTCTTTCTGCTGTTTGTGGGTGACTTGCACGTGTCGCAACGCCAAGTGACCAACAGTTGTGGTGAAGGGTTCTTGCTCTTGCTTCAGATGGTCCATCCGCTATGCATCATCGGCTCCAGTTTGTTCAGATGCAGTTTGCTTGCCAGCACTCTGTGGCGATTTGGGCATGCCCTTCAACGGACTTGGGGAAAGAAGTGAGATCCGAGACTTCGCTTGGCTCAAATTTCAACGGATTTCTGGAAAAGTTCGATGGATTTCTGGACCCATTCGCCTTTCCGAATGCAGAGCCAGGTGCGGCCGCTTCGAAGGTTGCGTCATCGCTTGGAGAAAAGACGTCTCGCGCTTTCGGATGGGCTGGCTGAAAACCCGCCGGGGTTTCGATCGGATGGCGACTCATCGGACTCGCGTGTTGGGTTGCCCAGTTCGGCCTTGGGTTTGGTGGTGGGTTGCTTTGATTTTGATCCAGATTCAGCAGGGCTCCTTAGAAGATCTCCATGTTGGAACCATTTGAAACATGGTGCTTTTTCAACACCAAAATGCAGAAAGGGAAGCCGGCATTTGTTCGATCGGTGTTTTTCATGCATCCGGATCCCTGTTCACGTTGCTCCTTTTTCCGCAGGCAGGCCGCGCGGCCGGGCCATCAGCGTGGTTTTTGATTTGTTCCAGGGAAGGAATCCAGCTTCACCGGGCAAGTTTAGAGGTGTTTCGAGAAACAACCGGGCAAGTTGGGGGGGTTCAAATCTCCACGGATTCAGAAAACAAAACAAAAAAAATGAGGGGTCAAGCTTCAAAATCCGATTTGTCTACGAGAAGCACTTTCCACCTGTGGCGAAGACATGCTCCTTAGTCTTGATATCCCTCCCAAGCCGTCCCTGTGCACGTCCGCGGTTTAGAGCACAATACATGCCAGAGGGGTGCAGATTACGATTCACTTGCCCAAAGCCAACCTTTTGACCTTCTGGTTCCCTGGTTGATCCACTCGAACTCCAAAAGCCATTTTGTTGGTGTGATGGGCATGTGAGGTAAGGTTGAGCACTTGACTCCCTCGGGGCTTCCTGAGCCCGGGATATGAACTTCAACGCAGTCCGGAGTGTTTGGGGATCATGGGCGTTTTGGCTTCTTGGGTTGGGCGAAGCTTGACAAGGAAGGCCTCTATTCTTCCGCCTTGGACTCATCTTTTTGGAAACCTCCTTGGTCTTGGCATGCCAAGAGTTCCGGTTTGCCCACCCTTTTCCTCGATTGATCGACAGGGAGGGACCTCGATTCAAGCGGGTGTGGCGTCGAACGTGGAAAGCCCACATGTGCGGAAAGGGCACTTTGTGGCCCCCCACATGGGTGTGAATTCGAATGGGTCGCGGACCCTTTGGCGGACATCATTTTGGTCGCCAACCACTTTTGAGGTGCCTCATCATCAAAATTCATTGAAGGAACGTGAAACCAACGATCTGGAGAGCTTTATTGTTTGAATGAAATCCAATGTCGCAAGGGGCTTGGCCCGGCAAGCACTTGGTGTGCATTGACCCAGTTTCACACAGACCACACCCACCATGTGGGCAAGCTCAACTTAGTGAGGATGGATACAGTTGATTCTCAGTACCTGCTCCACAGTAGGGCTCACAACCTCCCAAGCAAAAAAGAACAACGGGGGAACTCTACCCCCCTTTCCCCCCCCGTTTGTCGGCATTCAAGGCTGGTTCTTCGCGGTGTCTGTGGATGTGACGCGACCCGGATTGCAGGACCGCAGATTTCGGGATCGCATGGCAAAGACTGGGCGGTCATAGGGGCCATCCGCAAAGCCCTTCCCTCGGGTTGCCAACAGTTGTGTGCACCAAGCTTGCCATCGACACACAAAGTGTCAAAGTGACAGCCACTTTGAGCGGCTCACTGAGCCAAACTTCCCGCGAGTCCAATTTGACCACGATCTCCAGGAGTCCTGGCGGCCCGAATTTTCTCGGGATATTTTTCGCCCAGAAATTCGCGTCCAAGATCCACGGAGATACGAGGAACCCCCACACGGCACTCGGAGCCGGAGAAATGAACAAGAGCAGCTGGTCGCAGTCACCAGAAGCAGAAGCCTCGCAGATTTCTCCGGTGTGGTCGGGACAAAGGAAACCGACGATTTGGGGCGGGTACCCCTCTTTTGACGCATGTCTCATTAAAGTCCGCACGACCAAGAGGTTTCAAGCAAGTGCCGTGCCGATTACTTGAACAGCCGTGATGCTAGGGATGGTTTTGAGCAACCCTGGAACACATTTTCGAGGGCGTCGCTTTAGTTCCCTCAAAAGTGAAGTGATCAATACATGTTGCCCAAGAAAGGGGGTTGAATGGGTGGTGTCCCCAGAAAGAGGGGTCTCTGGGGGAACCAGGCATTGAACTTTGAGTTTTTGGCTGGCCACAAACTTGAAGCATTTCCGGTTAGTCGCAGAAGAAATGGCGTTTCAAGCACAGTTACGCAAAAACCGCCCTTGCTGCAAAAGCCTGAAACAGCTTTTGACAGCATCTCGTCTTGCGGGACAAAAGAACAGCGTCAGGACTCGGTGTTTGCTACATGTTCTTCTTGGAATGTTTGCCGACATTGCGATTGCATCTGAATTGCTGGGTAGACGTGCTCTTTGTGGTGCTTGTGTCGTATCTCCCAGCATCTTTTGGTGCGGACGTGTGGTATCAGATTGGAACAGCTCCATACCGCGAGGGTCTGGGTGTGCGAAAACTAGCCGTTGTGTGGTCGATGACAAACAGAAGCCCACATGAGATCAACCATTGCGAGGAGTTGGGTTTTGACGCATTTGCCACATTATCATGTTATCAAGGTTCCTTCGGAGATACAAGTCGGCCATTTCTAACGTCACAAGTATGTTCTATGTTGGGATACATTTATGGTCGGACATAAAATATTTAGCTCATTCAGACGCATTCTCCTCTGAGAGCAAAGAAAGGAAGGCAAGTGCGCTGTCGTTGGCATGTGTTTAGGTGTTTCTGTTTTTGTTCATTTTCAGAAGGGGCTGCCAAAAAAAAAGCGACTCTTTGTTTGGCAAGCCCCATACCAAAGGTTGGAAAGGCAACATCTGCAGTTGACTCTTCTGATTTTTTGAGCCACTCGTTTGGAACACCACCCCCCCTGGAGCTTGGGGATCCCTGAGGACGGCCTGGCCATTGGCGTCACCACCTGCCCCCCGGAGAAGCTGGCGGAGTTGCCCCAGACCATGGATGCCCGGGGGCCGAAAGCGGCCGACAGCTGAAGGCTGAAAGCTGGGGTAGACTTCGGAGACGTTGTTCGCCCATTTTTGCCAGTGACTCAAAGTGAAGCTTTCCTTCCACACGGCTGAGGGCATCAATCCGCGCCACATGCTGTTTGAAAACGAATTCCTTGTTGTCAATGCTGACATTCTCACTGACGCACTCAGGTTGACATGCTCAAAGTGAAGCAAACAATAAAATATACATTCTATTACTCGGCGTAGCTCGAATCGTGATTTGCTTTTGGCGACATGAGTCGTCCATTGGCGGATGCGAAGATTTGACATATTTGTGCGTATTGTCCCTTGGTTTAAAAGGGAATCGATGCCACTACTGGAAGTCTGTTTTTGGAAGTTATTTTCCCTTTGTTTGAAAGGGAATCGATGTCACTACTGGAAGTCTGTTTTTGGAAGTTACTTTCCCTTGGTCTAAAAGGGAATCGATGTCACTACTGGAAGTCTGTTTTTGGAAGTTATTTCCCTTGGTTTAAAAGGGAATCGATGTCACTACTGGAAGTCTGTTTTTGCAAGGTATTTCCCTTGGTCAAAAAGGGACTTGATGTCACTACTGGAAGTTTGCCCATGCGGTGAAGAACCGCATGGTTCCTGGACATGCCAATCGATCCTTGCCAGGCGTCGGAAAAGGGAAATACCTTCGCCTGTGAAAGGGAGCCCGGCTGTTCCTGTGACCCGTTTGGGGCTTGGGAAACTCGGTACTGGGGTGATGCAGTGCATTTTTTGTGGCCCTTGCGGGAAATGGCGGTGGCTCTAAAAACCGGTACCGAAATGGAAACCTGGTGAGTCGAAACATGGACCAAAACCTGCGTACCCCTCCTGTTTAATTTTGAGCCACACCCAAATGGCGTTTGGCTGTTGCTGGGGTGACCGTTGTGCTCCTTCTCTTGTTTCCCTTGATGGCTGCAGGAGCACGTGCACTGGTAAAGAAACCCAATAGATTTGAGCGCATCTCTCAATCCAGACCACAGCCATCTCCCACTCCGGGTGCCGTTTTCCAATTGGTGTATCAAACGGGAACCCATTGATGAAGAAGGTGTCCCTGCTTGCTGGTGCTCAGCGAATGAGTTGAATGACCCACAAAACCCATCCAACCGGTGTCTTCCTTTTCTCGGGCATCCCAGAACATGTCTCATTCTCTCGCACCAAGCCCGGGGAAATCCGAACATTTGATCCTCGAGGAAGTGGAGCCCTGCTGGCTGCTGGGCTTCGACGGCGGGCGCCGGGCGGCGGGATTCGAGGGCGCCCGAGGTTCCCAACAGCTCAGCTCAGTGGCAGTCGTGATATGCAGATTTCGCTTTGCGTTTTTTTTTTTGCAAGCAGCATTCTGGAGCAACAGTTCTTACTCAACAGCCCGGCATTTCTAGCCCATGGGGCATGTTGGGACGCTTTCTCCCCATGCGAATCCTGGTATCGGTCAGCTCGCAGTGCAACTCAGAACTCAGGGCCTCCTTCAGTATATTTCAGTCGGGGGTTCTCCGAAACCATCTGATCTTGAGTTGTCAGAATTAGTCGACTTCCTTTTCTCACTGAGCCCAAAACATAGTCTGTGGGGAACCATTTTTTATTTGACCTGGTGACTGGAAGGATTGTGTGTCAACTTCGCCTCAGTTCTGTCTGAGGGGTGCCGGCTGAAACCAGTGCTCGCAGGCTTCCTCTATCAATTTCAGGGACACCTTCGGAGCTCCGAGACACTTGGAGGGCAAGCCACAAAGGTTGTTTGCGCCCTTCAGACACATTTATCTCAGACTTGCGTGAGCGAGCTGGCGCGCACAGCTATGCGGTGCGGTTCTTTGCGGCCTTCAGACACATTCAAACAATTAGCGTCGAACGGATCTCCCCTTAAAACGGTATGTGTGGTCCGATCGAAGCGTTTGAGGTGGTTGGCCGGCGATAACCCGCTTGGTTCGCTTAAGGCAACGCTGCGACCGGATGTGTGGGTTCACTTCCAAGGCCATAGCTAGGTTCCCCAGCTAATTAGGTGCCAACTTTTACAGTTTCTTTTTTGGTTGGGAGGGTTCCCCGTGTCTAAAATAGGCTACAGAAAAAAGTGGGTACCCTTATTCTAACCTCTCTACTGGCGGACCTAGCATAGCTAGAGATATGCCTATCGCGGAGCTAAAGCATTCCCAAAGAAGCCTACAGAGCCCCTGCAGCACCCTACGTAACCCGAGGAACGACGCATTTTCGAGGATTTAACAAACAACTCAAAGAACCTCACGTGGCAAGTGTTGGATATTACAGACAAGTTATGGATGCATGTATACACATGATTGATTTGTTACTTTGTCTACTTTCCTCTTTGCGTATTTGCTTCTTCATGGTTGGTTTAATTCGTTGATTGATTTATTGAATTGTTTATTTGTTTATTTGTTTGTTTGTTTGTTTGTTTGTTTGTTTGTTTGTTTGTTTCCATCCATCCATCCATCCATCCATCCATCCATCCATCCATCCATCCATCCATCCATCCATCCATCCATCCATCCATCCATCCATCCATCCATCCATCCATCCATCCATCCATCCATCCATGCATCCATGCATCCATGCATCCATGCATCCATGCATCCATGCATCCATGCATCCATGCATCCATGCATCCATGCATCCATGCATCCATGCATCCATGCATCCATGCATCCATGCATCCATGCATGCATGCATCCATCCATCCATCCATCCATCCATCCATCCATCCATCCATCCATCCATCCATCCATCCATCCATCCATCCATCCATCCATCCATCCATCCATCCATCCATCCATCCATCCATCCATCCATCCATCCATCCATCCATCCATCCATCCATCCATCCATCCATCCATCCATCCATCCATCCATCCATCCATCCATCCATCCGTCCTCCGTCCGTCCATCCATCCATTCATCCATCCATGTATCCATGTATCCATGTATCCATCCATCCAACTTTTGTTTAAACAAAGACCACATATGTTACTTCTCTCTCGAAACTTTTGTTTCAAACAAAACCCCTTGATTTGTTTTTTCGCTGTTTTTTTTGACGCTTGTTTTAGTTCTTTACTCGTTTGCTGATTCCTTTGTTGATTCGCTGGGCGATTTGCCAGGCGTGGAGTGGGACGGGGCGCAGCTCACCTGGGGGCCGGCAAGCTGGTCGCCTGCGCTGCTGAAGGCGGGGTGTGGGGGGGGGGGGGGGCGGTTAAAACGGCAACGTCCGTTTCTTTTTTTTTTGTGTTTTGTTTTTTTGTTGGTAGGGGAAAACCAAAAGGAAACCGTCCGCTTGTTTGGAAAGCTAATTTATGTTTGGTCCAGAAGGGTGCCGATCACTTAGGGAGGACAATCATGTGTGTATTTTTTTGCGTCCGAAAGCATTTGCTAGAACCCGTTGAACGGGCCACCCAAGTTGTTGGATGGTTCTAGTCGCCTGCAAATAAACATGGAACCCCCAAAGGGGGCTCGATTCCCAAAAGATTCCTCTAGAAGTGATGGTCTCTGGGGTTCCATTTCTGGGGAGAGACACGGTTTGAAGGGCAACAGTCCTCTTTTGTCAAATATGCATCTTGTTTCGGAGTTAGTGTTAGTCCCTGCTTCGTGAAAGCAGTACGCATTCTTGTTTGTGAGTGAGCACCCCCCTGCGGTAAAGAAACAAGACACGCTGCAAGCCACAGGTACTGGTAAGAAACCTCACAAGACAGTGCAGAGTACCCAAGCTTAGACACGCAGCAAACAAACACACACAAACAATTTGTGTGTGTGTGTGTGTGTTCCCCATGATCATCAACGAGCAAAATCAGGGGGTCGTCGTTTCATCTTTCCAATCTTTCCACATCTACTAGGAAAGCACGTCTCCACTTTCGGACACCTTCTTATGTTTCTCTCGCCTTTTTCGGCAGCTGGGGCAATTCAGAACATGAGCAAGCAATTCCATGCGGCATTTGGCTGTTCTTGGCTCCAGACAGCCGCGCGCCCATCTTACCCTGATTCATCTTATTTTACATAGCCGCTTGTGCATGATGTGGCACTTGATGCAGATTGCGCTCTTGGTAGTCGTGAAGTCGGACCAGCCCGAGCAGGCGTGCGAGGGCCCCCAGGCAAGCAGTGCAGGTGCAGTGCTGCTTCAGGCGTCCACCAACCGCACGCAGCTAGCATCTGAGCGGCAAGTATCCTCCCGCATCCAGCAGGACTTGGAGGACATCCAGGCCTCCCTGCTGGAGAGATCCCACGAAGGTGTGCATGAGGTCGTTGAGCAGGAGTTGGAAGATGCGGTTCAGGGCAAGAACAGCCGGCGTCGCCGTAGCCGTCGCCGGACCACCACCACCACGACCACGGTGGACTGTGGCTCCAGCGTTGACTATGTCTCGATTGCCTGGCAAGTGGCTTCGGGATTCTGCTTGGAGGGCTCGAACAGCGGCGGATCCACCTACTTGGACACGAGCTCCTGCTCCTCCATCACCAACGGCCGAGACAGGTTCTCCTTTGTGGACCAGGGCGACGGTTACTGCAAGCTGCAGTCACAGTACGCCACCCGCCGCCGCAGCGCCAAGGGCAAGTCTGTGACCTGCGCCACCAACTCGAAAGCCGTGGTTTTCTGCACTGCCCAGGGCTCCCAGAGCTACACCAAGTTCAAGCTGGAAGATCTGGGAAGCAATCGGTTTTCAATGTACTGGTACGACAGCTCCGGAAACTCCGCCATTGCCAAGCGGAATCCTTATGGAATTCGGATTCAGGACTACTCCAGTTCCGATGAGCCGAAGTTCAAAGTCTACAAAAACGCGGTCTACAGCAGCACCTGCTTACTTACGAAGAACGATCTTGGCCTCACCTGCTGGAAATGAGTTGGTGCATGGCTGAGCGTGTTTTTTGCCTCTCCGGCTTTGGGATCTGGTAAGGGATCCGTGTTTCAAGCCTCACCAGCTGCGGGAGCTCTTCTCGCAAAAGTGCTCGCTTGCGCTTGCAGAGAGAGGGCAAAGATCTTTAGAAATAAGAAAAACATGCAAAAGCCTCAGCAGCAGCCGCACCCGAGACAGCAATAGCAAGAGCAGCAATGTCAACAGCACCAGCCACAGAACAGAGATGTTTTTTTGTTTTTGCCTTGGATCAACTTGGGTGCAGTTGCCTACCTTGGTACTTCGAACCGATGTGCGACAACGTGTTGTTTGTTTCTCCTGTCGACAGCGGGCGAGGTCGGAGACCTGCTGGGTGTGGTCGTCACCTTTCAAGGAGAGCTTCAGGCCAGGAACCAATTTCTGGGACGAAGGTGGACACATCTTCATGGGTTCATGGCGCCTGTTGTTTTTAAAGAGGCGGCGCGCGAAATTGACCGAATCACTGAAATACATCCTAAATGGGGCCGAAGCTTGTTTCGGTCAACTGCATTCGTTCGGATCATTCGGGGTGCGAAGTTTTTGGAGAGCTCGGAGGTGCCTGGACTGATGCCTTTGAAGAGTGGGTATGATTTTCAATCAGGGACCCTTTGGTGGACATCATGTAGGTGGGGATTTATGTCCACCCGCCCGGTTTCAGGGGGTTCCACATTAAAATTCATAGCCGAGTGTGTGCAACATGGAAGGCCCGAATCTTTGCTTAGCTTCCTGCGCTTGTTGAAGGCATCAAGGAGGTCCCCGATTTGCCCGTACTTGCCATGATCGACGGCAGCCAAACTGTTGCCACTGGGTGTGGGGCTCACGGTGTGTGAAGCATCTTCCAAAAGTGTAAGGGCCCAGCCTTAGTCGTTTCACAAGAGGATTTTCCATACATAAACATCCATAAACATCCGGCACACACTTGGCCATGAGTCAAAGCCCGGCTAGCCCCCAGTGAACATCCCAATCCAACGACTAACATAGACGAAAATGGGTGTACCATTGGTTTTGAGGTGTTTTTTGAGTAGGATTCGGCTCTTCCTGTAAATCTCCTGGCACAGCACATTCTCCAGTCGGCGCGTGCCCTGGTCCACTGGCAACTCCCCCTCACCGATGGACTACAACGGTCAAATGCTGCCACCTTTACGCTTGGGTCGGTTTGCATCGGTTGAGGATGTGATTAGATTAACGGGTTGGTTTACAGCGGCATGTAATTTTTGGAGAAGCACGACCGTGCGGAAAATGAAAGGAACACGGGAGGGAGCTGCTCATCAGCGGTCTGTGTGTTTTCCCCGTAGTGTTTGTTTCTTTGTAGCTCTGGGAGGTTTAGCCTTTTCCTATTGCCGTTTTTCAACGAGGCGTTGAGGATTTGATCATTTGTGTAACTGTTTCAGGTGTGGACCTCTGTAGCAAAAATCCTCACCTCGCCAGTCTTTGTCCAATTGAGTGACCCGCATGTAGAATGAGAAGCAAACAGTTTGCACAAGGCATTCAAGAGTCTATATTCAGATACACATGCTAGAATATGCTGAACACGTTTCAGATCAAGGCGGGAAGCACATATATATATATATATATATGTAGATGTTTATACATATGAGTTATGATATACACATATATATATATATATTTGCAACCCCCCCCGTGGACTCTGGTTTTACTGCCTTTTGAGGATGGCACATCTAGAATTTCAAAATTTCTATTCTCGAAATTTCCACTTGTGGGTCCCCAAAGCGTGATAATTTGGAGCCCGGAGTCCTCCACAATGTCCCAGTATGATACCCTTTCCAGATAAGATGTTGCTTCAACTAGAATTGGAATTTTGAATATAGTTTAGTAAGGATATAGTTTTCAAACATGTGTTTATGTTCAATTACAGCTTAAACAAGCAAATCCTTTCCAAATAGCAGCTACATGAAAATGTAAATATATATATATAGATATTCGGCTAGACTCCAACTAATCTATAACACAAGAAGTTAGATGGAAGTGTTTCCCCAAATATAATCCAAGTGTTAAATATAATCTAAGACGAACACAACTCAATTTGTTTTTGATAGTATCAAGTGAATAGAGACTACGTCTCAAATATAATTCATATTAAATATGGCTAAACATTTAAGGGACTTCTACAAGGAAAGGTGTTATTTACATTCTGGCGCTTTTGTAGCATAGGAAAGGTCCGACATTGAACTTGTTAGACGGTGTTCCAAAGGGAAATTTCAAGGGAAGAGAGGTTCAAAATCTAAAACTATCTCGAAGCAGGGATTCTAGCTAAACCGTTGTATTTAAAGTTCTATTTGCGCAGGAAAGTTAATTCTATCTCAACAGGTGGAGGTAGTAGATGAGCAAATGTGGACAGGTAGTTCAAGAGGGTGGGGGACGGTGTGTGAACGTACATACATATGTATATCTATTTTTACACATACATACATACACACATATATATATAGTACCCCCAATGATCCTGCGCCTCCCATAAAATACTGGAAAACAGTATTTTTGAGCGTTACACCTGCCTTTGTTACCTCCTGGAAAGGGGTCAACATGAGCATAGCTGACATGAAGCTCACCAAAAGCACTTGAAAGTTTGTCTAACCAATAACTTGAAAGTGTGTCCACTGGATCGCTAAGCACTTGAACATATTCTACTATCGGATGGAAGATTCAAGATTGAAGATTACACAGAAAACTTTCCTGAGAATTGTCAATCCGGGCCAAACCCAAATAACATTCAAGTTCTTCTAGCACTTGAAAGTGCCTTACCACTGGATTTGGGGTTCAATATTGAGGAGGCCACAAACCACCACTTTCCTGAGAATCATCCATCCTGGTCAACCCCTAAAAATGTTCAAGTTGTTCTATCACCTCGAACACATTTTGCCACTGGATTGAAAAAAACAACAACGAGAATCTTATTGAACACCGAGAGTATTGGGACAACCCTGGATTTTTTTTAAGCTTTTTGAAATTATGGGATTCAAGATTCAAGATTCAAGACTCCCATATTTTTTTCCTCAGATTCTTGAATCTTGAATCCAAAAAAAAGAGCTTTAAACATTATGGGATTCAAGATTCAAGATTCCCAGAAAATATGTTCTCACATTCTTGAATCTTGATTTTTGAATCCTTTTTTTTTTAAGGCTGAGTTGTTCTTGTATTCCTGGATGCATTCAAACTCTTTCAGATTGCAGATGCTGATGTCATTGCTTTTATCACATTTGTATGCATGCATGCGTATCATATACATGTATGACCCCCCCAATTTTGACACAAATCCAAGAAGCAAAAAAAAAGCATAAAACACTGGAAAATACAGGTCAAACGCACCAAACCAGGGTCCATGGGGGGGGTACCATATATATATATATATACGGTATATACATATATGATACATATAGCTATATATATATATATATGTACATGCTCGAAATGACCGGCTTGGTTGTTTCTCCTGACATGGGCCCCCCGCCGTTTGGCTCCGCACGGGGCTAAGCAGAGCGACCCCGCCGATGCGCCGGGCGCTGCGCCGGGCGCTGCGCGCGCTAGCGCCGAGGCCGGCGATGGCGCAGGCGAAGTGGCTGGGAGCCGGGGATGGGCAAAGACTGGGCTCATGGGGGCAGGGGGGCAGGCAGGGGAGCCCAAATGAGCCCTTATTCAGCCAATAAGGCCTTATTTGGGGCTTATTGGGGCTCCCTCCTCCCGCCCAGCCCCCATGATGGGCTGGGGATTCCCAGAACATGGGGGGCAAATGGCTAGGTCCCCCAGCTTAGGTGCCAACTTTTACCGTTTCGTTTTGGTTGGGAGATTCGGTTCCCCTACTAAACTGGACTACAGAAGAAAGTTGGTACCAACTTATTCTAAGCTCTCAAATCCGGAGGACCTAGATGGGGTTCCCCATGGGGTTCCCCATGGGGTTCCCCATGGGGAAAAACGACAGGATGGACGAAACCCCCGCCATTGTGATGGATGACAGCCTATTGGAAGAAGGGATCAACCGCCTTACCAACTGGTGCTTACTGTGGATGGATGAACTCCGTCAACTAGCAGAAGCTCCCATTCTCCATGAAGAGTTGGGTCAGATCCCTTTCAAGTCCCATACTGTGGATGGACGAAATCCGAAATCCGTTTGCAGCAGTTTGAAACGATGGCTGAAACCAGGGTTTCTGAACGGTGGTGCAGGATTTCGTCCATCCACAGTAACTGAGTAGCACCAGTTGGTAGGTGGTTTTCCCAGACAGTGTCATCCATCCCCACTGCAGGGTTCATTTATCTGTAGATATTTGAGCACCCAGCATGGCAGCATGGCTGTTCAAAAGACTGGGTAAGCCGTTGCGGCCAACCACCTCAAACATGTGACCCCGCGCTTGCGCTAAAAAGAACACTTCCATTTGCTTAAGACATCTTAAGAATATGTTCATATTTTTCCCTGTTGATTTTAAAGGGAATCGATTTCACTGCTGGAAAGATTCCCTGTTTTTCTCCAGGGGGCTCAAGCACATGGAAGTTTCCCCCTTTTGGAAGGCTTCACAGGTTCAACAATCAATGTTTAGATCATTGGCGAGGTATGCGTTCTTGAAGGACACCACGGGGATGAAGTGTTTCTGTTGCCCAGCCGCGAATGGGGTCAATACCCGGGCGTATTCCCAGATACAACAGCCCTCAGAAAGTGAGATGGCGCGAGCGCCGGAATTTTGCGAGCCCGAGCTTGGTGATTCAGGCACCATACCCCGCAAGACATGCTGGCGTCACGTGGGACCTTCCGAAGGCACGTTTTACTTGAACTCGCTCCCTGAGTTTCTGGACTTTATGGAACTTTTTGGGTTTGGACCATTTTGGTGGCATTCCTCACGTCCCATCGAGCGAAGAACAAGGAAATGAGTCCATCCGCCAGGACGCCAGCGGGCTGCTGCGCTTGGGGCAGAACGCCACGCAGATGGCCTCCGAGCAGCTGGGAAGGCTCTCGCAGCAGGTGGGGCAGGCGGCCTCGAAGCGCGACTGCCGGGGGGCCGAGTGCGGCGGGCGATGCGGCGAGGGGGGTCTTTGGGTTTGCTGGGGGGGTACGTTTAGACCCCCAGGTTCATAGGTGCTCTTTTTAGGTGAGCTTGGTTAGAAATAGATGGGTTCCACTCTGGTTTACATTGGTTTTATTCAATTTACCACTGCCATCTATTTTACCACAAGGACACCTATGCTCAGGCTTGGGTTGTTTGGCGGGAATTTCAAGAGGAGATGGGAGTTGG